TAGGTAGATAGGGAGGTAGGCAGACAGACAGATAGACAGATAAACAGATACATAAATACACAGATAGGACTTTCATGAGAATTATAAATTAAGACTCAGTGGGACTTAATCCAAGAACTACCTCATGAATCACAAGTACATATTTGTGTAAAAATGAAAAAAGAAATAAAATATTCACTTTCAGAATTATTGCAAAAGAGTACAGATGTTTTGAGAGATAAGAACAAACTTATGCAAAAGTCCTGGGTTAGAAATTCAAGACGGGAGAGATCAACGCTGAAAACTTGGGCAGAATTGTACCTCCTGCATCTCCAGGAAAGCAGAACTGCTCAGAAAGAAGGGTTATAGTGCATCTGAGCTTTCTCTGCCACTACCGGCTCCTGATCAACCAATTCCTAGGGAAATTCAGGAGGGTAGACAACTCAAAGCACAAAGATTTTCACTTTCTACTCTGGAGGTATCAAAGTGCTATTGAGGTGGGGTCCAGTTTTAGAATGCATTACACCTAATGCTGCATAGCTCAGACTGTAGCACACTAAGCACTAATGTTAAGCAAAACATTGATATTTCTGTACCTGTATGCACTTGTGCACTTGTACACAGCTCCACAATCCCCCACCTGAGAAGGTACCGGATTTACAACTAAGATATGAAAATGGTTCCTTCTCTTAGTGCTTCTTAGAAATTGTATTAGGCCAATTTGAAACTCCAATGGGGGCATGGGGCATGGACTTTTTCTAAACTTTTTTGAACAAATTTATTTCACATAATTCTCTTATGGGGGGGGAAAGATTATATTTCACAAAAAAGGCTTTGGGAAATGCTGGTCTAACTCTTCAGCATTTATTCTTACCATGTACATCATGGTGTAGAACACTTAAATTCTGAGGGGTCACCACGATGTACATGCAGAGAACACATTTTTCTCTTATAATTCTGAGCGGACATGATCACACAGTGTGACACAGTGGAAGCCTGTGGACTTTGGTCAGATAAGCCAACTAGGGCATTCACTGGCTGTGGGAACTTGAATAAATATTTAACTGCTTTGAAGCTTAGATTCTTCATCAACTAAAAGGGGTAATAATTAGTACCACCTCAAAGTACTGTTTCAGTGACAATGTGTGTACACAAAGAGCAGAACACACTCAGGAGGTTCTCGAAGACATGGTCTTAATCTGTGTTGTAATCTCGGTTATTCAACAGAGACTGGCCTGTTGTAATCCACAAGCGAGCAACAAAATTCACCTAGAAGCTTAAAGTCCCACAGGTTGTGCTTCAGCATCCATTTAACTGCTCATTTATCTGTGTACACTCATGGTACGTAACTGAAACTGGGTCTCTATCCTTGGTGTTTATCCAATTAGACTGTCATAAGCAGTCTAGAGCAGCTCTAAGAGACTTGAGAAAAACCTAATAAAATGAGATCTTTGATATCAGAAAATGTGACTGAGTCTGCTCCTTAATAAATATCAAGGAGGAGTCGAGATGTGTTTATCAGGCCTGTTAACTGTCCTGAAATATTTTTATTGCTAAATTCATACTTAGCAATTTTTGTTTGTCTCACTCTTCCGTATTCTGAGAAAATAGTATTCCTTAAAGTTTAAAAATTCTGCTTGCAATTTCTTTTCCAATACTCCATTGCCCGTTACGTTCATAACTTTCCAAAAGATCTGCCATAACAGGGATTGTTGGGGCTACAACTTGCAATTGCTTTTTAAAAACAAACTATATATATACTTTGTATTTATTTGGTACAGGGTCTTGCTACACAGCTCTGACTTGTAGTGATCCTCCTGTCTCAGCCTCTCCAGCACTGGGATTACAGGCATGCACTGTGTGCCACCATTCCTGGTTTCAGAGGCTGGCGTGGCTCGGGGCCAGCATACCATGTGCTACTGGGGATTGAACCCTGGTACTTGAGCTTGCCAGGCAGGCGGTTAGACCTCCAAGCTATTTCCTGGGCCCCACACCTCCGAAACCCTGGCTGTACTCCCAAGTTCCCTACATGGTAAACTTCATCATTTGGTAAAGGATAAACAAGTTCAAGAATTTCAGTGGGACAACTTTGGAAGCAGGAGCACATCTCCTATTCTGAGAAACAGAACTGGTGCTCTGCTGTTTTCCTTGTGTCCTATCCCTCTGGGAGAGAACGGAAGGATTTGGCGTGGCAATGAAGGTTGTGCATGTTAACGTGTGGGACAAATTCTTGGTAATTAATACACAAGAGCAGTGATGGCAAGTCTTCGAGAGACCCAATGCCAAACTGCAACCCACACCCTCTTATTTATTAGAAAGGACAACACTGCAATTAAACCTGAGGGCTTAGTTCAGCGAAAAACAACTCTGAATTATCATCTTTCTCTTAAAAACTCCAGAACACACAAGCCATAGCTTCACTACCTCTGCCTCAGTGTGAATTCACTTTATAGGTAGGCAAATCAGCCAGCGGGACCTTGAGAGAGCAGAACTTGAACCTGATAAATCTTTATAAGAGAACCTCTTGGAAGGGTTCCTAAGCTTGCTTGGGAGGGTTCCTAAGTCGGGACACTATCTGCAGGAGCAGCTGAGTAGGAGGAAGGCGTTGGAGAAACCGCCCTGGGAGCCTGAGGCCAGGACGCTGGAGGGAAACCTACTTAACTGAAAGTGAGTGCTCAAAGGACCTCCTAGAACACGTGTCACAATGGCTTTTTAATAGGAGTTAGCACCAACACTCACACACACAGGCACACGCACACAGAGTCCCCAGTGATGTGCACTAGGTACTTGTTGCTTTAAAAAGTACCAGAAAGCAAAAATTATTTAAACATGTGTACTTCATGAATTTGCTGCCTCTGTGAATATCTGAAAAATATTAATACACGTATCCGAGACAAACGCGCGATTTTTATTCTCTGGTGTGAGACATTGAAAGTGTAAGTGTAAATAACCCAATTGTACAATAGACATTGTGAAATAAGAAGAAAGCGTTCACAGGAAAGGGTAACTAGGGAAGGGGAGGGGAAAGGAAAAATGAGAAAAGGATTCAATGGAAACAGCTTTGTAAGTAAGGTGGGAAAGAGGGATTGGAGGGAAGGGAGGGAAGGCGAGGGGAAAAGTCAAAGCAAGGTATATCCTGTACAGGTATGACTTCCCCATGATAAAGGTGATAACTGTACATACCTAAATTGTATCAATAAACTTCATTAACAAATTTCAAAGCCAGGTAAAGTTATGATTGCAGATTCCTAAGCGACACCAATATACATAGGGATGAAGTTTACGGTGCCCTGTACAAGGCATCCTGGTCTCCAGTGACCCTTATCTGTGGAGGGGAAAGCTTCTGGATCAGGGCCTAAGTCCCCTCTTGCCCAGTCATCTGAGCGCCACTCCCTGCTTCTGTGAAACGTGACTTTCCGTAGCTCCCCATTGTCTGCGTAAGTTGGCTCACACTTCTCGCGTGGACTGAAATCTTTTCTCCACCCTTCGTGTGCAGGCATCAGGCCCCGGCACGTTAACCCTCGCTGCCCCTCCAGGAATCCAAGCGCCTCAAGCCTCTCTTTTTCGCAGCCACCTAACTCTCCTCCGGAGAAGCTTCTCGGTCAGGCTTCACCTCAGCTGTGCCGCTTGCTTTCCTGCGCCTGTCTAACTTGGGGGTGGACACCGCGATCAGTGGTTTACTCTTCTGTGCCTCCACTTTCTATGTCCTCCCTCTTCTGATGCTGAACCCTGCTTCTCCCTCCCCTACAGTACCACTTAGGGCAGCGCTTCCAGCGGATGTTTAGTAAGTATCTACTAAAGGAAAGGACAGATCAATGAATGAGGAGAGCAGCCGCAAAAAAGCATCCTGAGATATTGTCTAGTCAAAGGCACCAAGGTCTTCGTAAAATTACTACTACAATGGCACTGAACCGATAAAGCTGAATCATAGTTAAGCCGTCATTTAGAATTATCTTACAAGGAGAACCAGAATGTGCATACGCTGAGATGAACTGCATTGTTCTGGGATACAGAAGGACTTGTGAAGTTTGCATCTTTTTTTAGACTCCTTTTTTGTTTTGTTTTTTAAAGTGGCCTCTTCCACTCTGCGTACGGTGGAAGCCTCCGCCAAGCTCAGCTCCGCAGCTCGGAAGGCCCAGGCCCCAAGGGTCCCAGAGGCCGAGGGCTCCCTCCGGGCAGAGCCGGCTGGGCAGCTCCCCCGGGACCCGCCCGCGGGGGCGCAGCTCGGTCGCGCCACCTCCCGGGTCGCAGACAGGCGCCTCCAGCCCGCCCCCGCCCCCGGTCTTTGGGTTCCCAAGTTTTTCTCTCCAAACACGTAACGGATCGTTCCTTTGTTTCCGTCTCTGACTTGATTAAAGGGAAGAAAAAAGTTCGACACAAGAATGGTAGCGGCAGAAGGCGCAGCCGGCCGCGCGTCCCGCCGAAGTTTGAGCGGCGCCAGGGCGTTTGCCCTCGGCTGCGTCGCCGCGAACTTCTCCGGGGGTGGCGCGCCCCGCTCCGGGACGTTTCCGGAGGGCCCCGCGGGTGCCGGCTGCAGAGGGGCGTGCGTCCCGGGCGAGGCGCGCGCTCGCTGTTTGTAACCAGCGTTAAGAGCAGGATTTTTAAACATGAAAACGCATAAAAGAAAGAAAAGCTAAATCCCGCAGCCCGCCGACTCCTATTCATTATTCCCGGTAGCATCTGGGACCATTCTCCTACTTGATCTCGCCCTTTCTTCCGCAGAGGCAAAAACAGTCAAGCCCGTCCCGCTTCACAGCAAACCCACTCTTTGTGCCCGAGCGGTGCCTCCGCCGCCACCGCCACTTCCTCCTCCTCCCGCCTCCTCCGCCTCCCGCCCGCCGCCCGCCTGGGCTCAGTCGCGGAGGCGGCGGGCGGGCTCCCTCTGCGCCGGGAAGCCGGGGCGGCGATTGGGCGACGGTCCCTGAGCCTCCAGTTCCGCGTCGGTTTCAAGGCTCCTCCCTCCTGGTGAAAGACAGACTGCGGGGCGCCTGGAAACCGGTCGGAGGGCGCGCGAAGGAGAGGAGAGGGAGCGAGTTGAGGGATTGACACAAATGGTCAGGCGGCGGCGGAGGAGAAGGAGGCGGAGGCGCAGGGGGGAGCGGAGGCTGCTGGGCTGCGGAGAGTTGCGCGCCCTACCAAGCCGCGACCACTAACGCGCGCCGCCAGCCGGGAGCTGAGCGCCCAGGGCCGGGAAGGCGGGACGCGACCCGGCGCCCGAGCCAGCCGGGCTCTCCCCGCCGCCCGCGCGCGCTTCATGCACCGCAAGTTTCCGCGGCGGCGGCGGCGGCTGCGGGACTCCGAGCAGAAGCCGGGGCAGCGGGCCGTGCGCGGCTCGGGCTTGACGGAGGGCACCGGCGGGGACGACGAGGAGGTCTCCGGTCGCAGCCGAGCGGCGCCGAGAAAGTATGGCTGAGGAGGTGGTGCCTAAGAAGTCCCGGGCCGCCGCGGGCGGCGCGAGCTGGGAACTTTGTGCTCGGGCGCCCCTGGCTCGGCCGGCGGAGGAGGGCAGCGGGGGCGCGCGCGGCCACCGCCGCCCCCCGGTGGACCCCGGGCGCTGGGCGCGCCGGCTGCTGCTCCTGCTCTGGCTGCTGGAGGCCCCGCTGCTGTTGGGGGTTCGAGCGCAAGCGGTCGGCCAGGGGCCCGGACCCGGGCAGCCGCCCCCGCCGCCGCCCCAGCCGCAGCAGGGAGCACAGCAGTACAACGGCGAGCGGGGCATCTCCATCCCGGACCACGGCTACTGCCAGCCCATCTCCATCCCACTGTGCACGGACATCGCGTACAACCAGACAATTATGCCCAACCTCTTGGGCCACACGAACCAGGAGGACGCGGGCCTCGAGGTGCACCAGTTCTACCCGCTGGTGAAGGTGCAGTGCTCCGCCGAGCTCAAATTCTTCCTGTGCTCCATGTACGCGCCGGTGTGCACCGTTCTGGAGCAGGCGCTGCCACCCTGCCGCTCCCTGTGCGAGCGCGCGCGCCAGGGCTGCGAGGCACTCATGAACAAGTTCGGCTTCCAGTGGCCCGACACGCTCAAGTGTGAGAAGTTCCCGGTGCACGGCGCCGGGGAGCTGTGCGTGGGCCAGAACACGTCCGACAAAGGCACCCCGACACCGTCGCTGCTTCCGGAGTTCTGGACCAGCAACCCCCAGCACGGCGGCGGGGGGCACCGCGGCGGCTTTGCGGGGGGCACCGGCCCTGCAGACCGCGGCAAGTTCTCCTGCCCGCGCGCCCTCAAGGTGCCTTCCTACCTCAACTACCACTTCCTGGGCGAGAAGGACTGCGGCGCGCCCTGCGAGCCCACCAAGGTCTATGGGCTCATGTACTTCGGGCCGGAGGAGCTGCGCTTCTCGCGCACCTGGATTGGCATCTGGTCCGTGCTGTGCTGCGCATCCACCCTCTTCACGGTGCTCACCTACCTGGTGGACATGCGGCGCTTCAGCTACCCGGAGCGGCCCATCATCTTCCTGTCCGGCTGCTACACAGCGGTGGCTGTGGCCTACATCGCCGGCTTCCTGCTGGAGGACCGGGTGGTGTGCAACGACAAGTTTTCGGAGGACGGGGCGCGCACCGTGGCACAGGGCACCAAGAAGGAGGGCTGCACTATCCTCTTCATGATGCTCTACTTCTTCAGCATGGCCAGCTCCATCTGGTGGGTGATCCTGTCCCTCACCTGGTTCCTGGCGGCTGGTATGAAGTGGGGCCACGAGGCCATCGAGGCCAATTCACAATATTTTCACCTGGCCGCCTGGGCTGTGCCCGCCATCAAGACCATCACCATCCTGGCGCTGGGCCAGGTGGACGGCGATGTGCTGAGCGGGGTGTGCTTTGTGGGGCTTAACAACGTGGACGCCCTGCGGGGCTTCGTGTTGGCACCGCTCTTCGTGTACCTGTTCATCGGCACGTCCTTCCTGCTGGCCGGCTTCGTGTCACTCTTCCGCATCCGCACTATCATGAAGCACGACGGCACCAAGACCGAGAAACTGGAGAAGCTCATGGTGCGCATCGGTGTGTTCAGCGTGCTCTACACGGTGCCGGCCACCATCGTCATCGCCTGCTACTTCTATGAACAGGCCTTCCGGGACCAGTGGGAGCGCAGCTGGGTGGCCCAGAGCTGCAAGAGCTATGCTATCCCCTGCCCTCACCTCCAGGGAGGTGGGGGCGCCCCGCCGCACCCACCCATGAGCCCCGACTTCACGGTCTTCATGATCAAGTACCTTATGACACTGATTGTGGGCATCACATCGGGCTTCTGGATCTGGTCAGGCAAGACACTTAACTCCTGGAGGAAGTTCTACACGAGACTCACCAACAGCAAGCAGGGGGAGACCACCGTGTGAGACTCCGGACTCAGCCCTTCCCAGGGCCCTGCCCCCCTCTCCCCAAAAGCCGGCCCCACTGGGAGTCTAGGCCCTGCATAGCAGCTCTAGGCTTGCTCTCTAGACCCTCACTTTTGAAGGCCCCTTCTGCCGGCGCAGTCCGTGAGCTTTGGCCCTTCCTGGGGCTAACGGACTGGAGGGCTTCACTGCCAGAGGGGTGTGGACCGGACCGCTGCTCTTGCCCTCACATTCTGGTACCAGGACTGTACGCTTTTATGATTGTAAATAGCCTGTGTAAGATTTTTGTAAGTATATTTGTATTTAAAGACTACCGATCACGCGTTTCTCTTTCTTTCTTTTCTTTTCTTTTTTAAGATTTTAATTATTTAGGGTGGTTTAACCATTTGAGACTTTTCTCTCTTGCCCTTCTCGGAGGACTGCAGAGAAGATAAAACCGCAGCACCACATAATACTCCTGTGCTTCCCTGTCCTCCCTGCCTTAGCCGGCCTGCCTGGGTGTAAGGCCTGCAGCCCACACTGCTGGGGTCCCACCTCCTCCATCTGCCTTGCCCTTCCTTGCTTGGGACAGGGACTCTAAAGGTACAAAACTCTGCATTCCAAATGCGGAGGTGGGCCTTCTCCCATTCCAGCTCCTTCCTTATTTAGGGGCAGGTTTGTTTAGGGGGTAGGGCCTGTCCCTTTGACTTCACAAGGCTGGATTTTGAGGACCCCCCCCACTTCAGAGTGGCTCTGGCAGGCTGCATTCCCACCCTCCCCCACTCTCCTTCAAGGTCCACAGACTCCCTCCATCCACCTAAGTTGGTGAGAGGCTGACAAGGCTGACAGGGCTAACGGATGCCAAACTTTTTTAAGTCTAATTTTTGAGGGATGAGCTCATTTCATTCTCTAGTGTCTAAAACCTGGTGTGGTTTGGCCAGCGTCATGGAAAGATATGGTTACTGAACGGGGAAGAGGCCTGAAGCGTGGTGTGGGAAGGGAGAGACTGAAGAGGGGTTATAAAATGTTAATTCTAATTGCATACTGATGCCTGGCAACCTGCCTTGAAGAGGGAGACAGCCTGAGCTGAGATTTTTACCCTTCTGGAAATTGGAAACTAGAGGTCACCTGGAAAGCTCTGTGCAAGGATTGATCCTTGCGTTCCTTAGCAGGACTGCAGAACATAAACAGGATGAAAACTTGAAGGAGATTGCAGTGTGATGGGCGTCTTCCACATGAAGTATTATTTTCTTACTTTTAATCAAATGATAATTAGACATATATCAGAAACTTTAAAATGTAAAAGTACACTTTTAACATATTATTATGATTATTATTCAGCGACACATCCTGAAGGAGGAACAACAATCCCCACCCCTAATAATAACCTAGTAGGATTTCGGGAGGCTGAGGAAACAGAATAATCAATGAGGTTCATTCCTGACAGAGACACGCAGCCCAGGGGCCTGCATGCAGAAGGGAAGCTGCAGTCTACTACGGGAAATCCTATGTGCTCTTTCTTGGATTTACAAAAACCTGTCAAATGTAAACCTTTGAAGCCATTTCAGAATATTCACTTTAGTTCTCTGTGAAAAGGAGAATAGTCCTCCTGATTGTGTTGTTTTAAACTTTAAGAGTTTATCAAAATGCTGGTACTTAGGATCTAAATTTATCTATATCTGTCATGCCCTAAAATGGCATTGGTCTTTGAATTTGGTATGCATTTATTCTGTTCACTATCACAAGATCATCTATATTTATAGAGGAATAGAAGTTTATATATATATATATATATAAAAAATGCCATATTTTTAATTTCGCAAATAAAAAATCAAAGTTTTGTACAAAATTATATGGTTTTCGTGTCTGAAAATAATAGAGCTTGAACTGTCTGAAATGTCTTTGCATTTTATTGTGGCTCACAGCCAGTCCTACAATGTAAAAATTTCAGAATTCAGTGAAAAATTCTATTCTTAAATATTTAGTCCAGGTTTTCTGAAGAATAAGACTATTTGCTGTGGACATAGAGTGCCAAGAAGAGATCTGTTTTTGTGACAGTAGAAAACAGAAAACTACAAAGTATTTCTTTATTTGAAGATTATTAAAGGATAACTAATTTCAATATTAAAGCTTTTTGTCTTTCAAGGAATAAATTTACATGCCTTTTTATAATACAGTGGCTTATTTTTAAATCATTATCTTTGTCATGATTTTTAGGAGTTATTGTCTTATCTTCCATAATCTTGGATATTCTCAAACCATAAATAGGTGATCAATAAATGGTACCTATTTATTTGTAAGCATTTTAAAACACCAGTTGGGTTTATCAGTCTATTTTGTAGTTTGCTTCTAAAGACTGCATTTTTAAGGTTAAAGGAACGTTTTTCAGATGAATTTTCTAGTTGGTTTACTCGGAATTTATGGATGTGTGCGTGCATATATCTAAATATACATATGCACCTAAGTGTATACACATGTTAAAAATAGAAATGTATAATACATACATTTTATACTATGAGAATAGTAGTATTAAAAATGGAAAAATTCCAAATGGAAAACTTCAAATACCTTTAGATTTAAAATACCTTTATTCCATTTTTCCTTTGAAAATACTTTCTGATAAAATGACTAGGGGCTGAAACAAAGATCATTAATACAATAATTGAATTACTTTCATGATCGTAAGGTAAATGTCTTAGAGGTCATCCTCATTTATTTTAAAACAAATGAAAAAAAAATTAATTGAAAATATAGCATTCAATCCTCAGTAGCAAGATATAATTTTGTTCTTTTTACATTAACATAACAGTAGACATCAGAAATGGTTTTATTGTACACACACACACACACACACACACACACACACACACACATTCTTTGGCCAAATTAAAAGATATATTTTTATCAGGTATTTAGAAAATTAACTATGAGTCTCTATCTAAGGAAACAATGTTAAATCAGTCTTAATTTGAGTGTCCTTAACGTGATTTAACTATCAATAGAATAAGGAGTGCTTTTGTTAAATAGTTTCAGAAGTAATTTTAAAATTACCAACAGGCTTTATTTTTAGAAAACAAGTATTTTTTTTGTTTGTTTGTTTGTTTGTTTCAAAACTGATGGAAAATAAGATTGACTGGACAGTCAAAGCTACTGGGAATACTGTGCCGGTAACATGCAATTCCCTTAACACCCTATCTTGGGATTATTTGATTTGCCTAATTTTTTTTTTTTTTTGGTGTTTTCTTTTTTAAATCAACTATCAATAGGAGTTTGTTTCTCTCCATCACTTGACTTAGCTTTTGAGGTAAATGTATATGTAGTGTGAAAGCTCTTAAAAATTATTTTCTACTTCAGCTTTGTAGAGGCAAAGTCACTTTTCCTGGCAGAGTAATCCGTGTCAAACATGGGCAGCAGCTCTGGACCCAAGTACTCAGCTCATCCTGCAGTGCTCACTTGTCAGTTTGAGTGTACAGTCCTGAGCCTTTTGTCATCACTCAGAGTCCTGAAGCTTTTCATTGTAACTGAATTATTCTTAAAGTCCAGCTTTAATTAGGCAAAAAGACCACAGTGGAGAGTTGATGGCCAATTATGAAAAAATGAGACTATATCACAAATCATTTCAGGACTTGTGTGGCTTTGGATCACTTCACTTTAGTTTTGTTCCAACCTTCATACTTTTTTTTTTCTGTACCAGGAATTGAACTTAGGATCTCACTGTTGTCAGCCAGGCCCTGCACCATTGAGCTATGTCCCTGGCCGAGTACATTTTTTTTTTTCTTTTCTAAAGCATCTTAGGGTATGCTGGAGGTAAACCGCAACTATTTCTCCTTTTACTGCTTTTTAAATTCATCTGTTAGCTATAGGCCACTTTTCACATAATTTGTATGCAAGTAATTGAATCTAGTGCTATTACATTGAATACCCTCTACACATTTATTATTATAATATTCTGTGTAACATGCACCTGAGAGATTGAAAATAAAACATGGTCATTCTGTATGTATAGAGGTGGGTCTTAGTGACATGGTCATCAAATACTTTATAAGATACACTAATCTCAAAGGCTTGCAAGATTAACCTGTAGAAGCCAAAGTAAGATAAAAATTACAAAGGAGAATTCTTCAGTTATGTAACTGAAAAGGAATTACATATTACCTTAAATTCAAAGTTTTTATTTTGGGGCCTTTAGATTTCAAATAGAGTCTTCCAGAGAAAGTGCCAAAACTTAGCTTATTTCGCTGATTTTGAGATGTGTATCTATATCTTGAACTCTAGATAGGTGGCAATAGACCTTAAAAGGTGAAAAACAGTGCTTATTTGATCTTCAGTCATGACTCAGAATTTCCTTAAAATATGGGGGGTGAATTTTTTTGACTCAGTTTGGTCACTCTTTTTTGTTGTTCATTTCTTTTAATAATGGATTTGCTAAGTTATAGTAATTATAATGACAAAACTTAGAGCTGGCAATTAAAAGTTTATTGAGTGATTTTCCTCTTTCACCATGATCTGCAGTGACATATATCTGTATGCCATCACAGCATCAGGTCATTGTAACACTCTCTTTGGGGACATTTGCTTGTAGGTTGTCTGGTACCCAAATAGGTGAAATAAAAAGATTTCTCATAGAAATCTTTCTCATGTAATTTGATCTATAAACTCAACTATAACTTGTAAATAACATGCTGTGGTTCCTAATCAGTGTGAGGAGTCAAGAAGATTCATAAATTGCTTCATATAAATAAAATGTATTTTAAAAAAAAGATCCTTTAACGTTGCCAGTAGTCTAAAGAGGCATAGTTTTAAATGATAAAATTTAAATGCCACTGGATTTTCTTCAGGTATCACTGATACCTTAGTTGAAGAAATATGTACACATTAGTTATAAAAGCAAAAGTATTAGAATAGTACACATTCATACATATTACACATATGGATTTTGTAAAGGTGAGGTTGGCACTTGACAATAATTTTTAAGTTTGAAAATTTATACTATATGAGTTTTACATAAAGGTCTCAAGGAACTTCATTCACGGTATAAACTTGCAAAACATGTTTGTAGCAGCTCAGCGATTAACATCAAAAAGCCCTTATTGCTGCTCTGAGATAGTTCTCTCTGCGGTACGGATTTCTTTTCTTTCCTTTTTTAAAAACCAAGTTATCATCTAATTTGTGGATATCTCCATGCTTCAGATCTCAGTACCTGTTTGAATTACACTTACAGAGAAATAGCTGCAGGATCCCCCCATAGACAAAGTGTGGCCTGCATTTCCTTTCAAGTTGGCAGCATGTCCTTGCTTCAATGAAGCGCTCTGAGGCAGACTATTTTCTTGCCCTTGGTAATGCTTGGCTCCACAATTGCTGCAGCAAATAACTGCAAGTCACATAGGCTAGTTAAACGCACATTCCAAATGTCCTGTGCTACTTGATAGTTACATGGATTTTTTTTTTTCCTCCATAAAAAGTAGATTTAAGGACTACTCTTACCCTAATCTTTCCAATGCTTGGAAAATATTTTAAAAGTTCACTTCAATAAATCTCTGTCAAAAAAACCTAATAATTCCTTAAGTAGGGAGACCAACCAACTAGAGTTATCCAAGAACTAGGGATTTCTTAGGATGTGAGAAAGGATATGAGACATTTTCACTGCTAAAGCCAAGAAAGTGCTGGGCAAGCTGGGGAGTTTGAAACCCTATACCATGGATAAAATTGTGCTCCTGTAAAATAAAATAAAAGTTTATGTATTGGTCACTGGTCCGGCATTAAAAGTGGCTGTGGTGTTTTTTTCTAGACCATATGGAAAGCCAGTGAGCACAGGCCTTTGTAATTCGTCTTCATTGTGAGTACTAAGCAACAGAACCTGAATGGAAGGGAAAATAGAGTGAAACAAACTACATGAAATATCTTGGTCATTCTGTCTTTAAGCCTTTGGTTCCTCAAGAAAGACAGGGATCTAGCTGGTCACTGAACGTGGTTATTGTTACTCATGAAATTAAGTTGAATAGCTATATTTAGAGAAGATTCACACAAGTGTTCCCTTGGGATTTTTTGCATGACAATGTAATTTCTTAGAGTAGGATTACAAACTGAAGCAGTGATCTCCCCAAATTGCTATATAACCCTGGCTTAATTATCATTTTTACCTCATAGGTAGGTAGGGTTAGCACTTGTCCTTTTCTCAGAATGTAATGTATCTGCAGGAAGGAGAAAGAAAGGAAACTATACCTTAAAATTCTACTCTGATTGTTAAGAATTGTAGCTTATTAAGAATATATAGCCTGTACAACCCAGTGGACTTCATTCACATTTCTACATGAAACTTCAATCAGAATTGGCCTGCATTTTTCTTTTTAGTTCAGTGTTATCCTTCTTGTAAATGCACATAAAATATCATTGTCTTTGTTGCTGAAATCACAGTGCTATTCTTGCTATCTCTTCACTGAACTCAATGCAAGTCAATTAAAAACATGCAGATAATGTAATTGCTTCAGGAGCCCATTAGGCTATAGAGCTAATTCTCAACAGGGTGCAATTTTGCCCCCAGATACATTTGGCAATATCTGGACATTCAGTATCTGGTGGAGGGGGCAGCACTGTGGGCATTTAGTGTGTGGACCCCAGAAATGCTAAGAAACATTCTGCATACGTAGAACAACCCATGGCAATAGGGACTGATAAGATGCACAGTGCCAAACAAAAATTCCTGCTCCAGAGGAGTAATTAAGATTGTAAAATACATATTTTTTTCTTTTTGAATTTTAGGGAAGTGTCTAAAGGGTGTTCAGGGTCTCACTACTAGATCAGACTCATAGTGATCTGTCTGTTTACAGCCTCCCAAGAGCTGGGATTATAGATGTGTGCTGCCACGCCCAGTCTCAATTGCTCTCTCAGCGCGCCCCGGGGACAGGGCTGGTATGGCAGGGATGGGATAGAACCCCAGCCCCTGCCTGCTTGCAGGTGCTTTAATCTGCTGAGCTATTTGGCCAGCCCTGAAATACATATTTTTTTAAAAAATAGCAAAATATTAAAATTGGGCTGGGGAGATGGCTCAGTGGAATAAGCACTTTCCTGGCAAGCACAAGGGCCTAAGTTCAATCCCCAGTTCCACCAAAAAAAAAAAAAAAAAAAAAAAAAAAAATTAAAGTTTATAAAAACAGCTGAGAAATTATGGGTTCACTAAGTAGGTGGCATGGCCCTTATTTTCACTTTTTAATTTTCATTACTGCAGTACATAATGGCTATGTTCCTTGTGGGGAGGTGTCATAAGCACATAGCACATCTCAACTCTTTTTCTTCCTCTCTCCTGCTTCATCTCTTTGTTCCCTTCCCATTTGAAAAAGATCTATCTGCCTATTTTCTATTGCCTTTCTTTTATTTTGCTGTTTACAGTGTTGTATTCGGGGGCTTTTCATATAGGAGAAACCTTGCAACATTTAAGCTTGTGTGTTTGATTTATTTTCCTTAGCATTATGGTCTCTAGGAGCACCCATTTCCCACAAATTACTTAAGTTTATCCTTCTTTAGGGCAGTATTGCACTGTAGAAAGACATCACATTTTCTTATCTATTCACTTTGGATGGACGTCTAGTCCTCTTCTGAGCGCTAGCTTTTATGAATGCAAAAATTTATTTTAGGTTGAGGAAGAGCCTGATCATAGGGGTCAATGGCTTCTAGGCTGCTATCTCAAAACACCATAGACTCAGTGACTTAAACAACAGCTTCATTTTTCACAGTACCATGATCAAGGTACCAGGAGGTTCTCTTTCTGGCTTATAGACAGCAGCCTTCATGAGGTAGGGTCCCAGAGCTTGTCCTCGGTGAATCTGCTTAGAGAGAGATTTCCTTGGGATGGCTTCTTACAAGGTACTGATCCCAACACAAAGCACCCCCCCCCATGGCCACATCTCCATCTAATGACCTCACCCATTCTTGGATAATAGCCCCATCCTTAAATAACCTCCCAGTGGGGGTTAGGTATTCAGCATACGTGTGTGTGTGTGTGTGTGTGTGTGTGTGTGTGTGTAGCGAGATGATGTAAACATTCATCCCACAATAGCCAATAAAATAAAGCGGGTTTTATTATTCAAATCTAGTGAAAGACATACAGTATTTCTTTTTCAAAGGGGGAGAATCTAAACACTACTTAATGAAAAAAATTCTTAAAGTGATTTGTTAGTATTATGCTGTTATACTTGTATTCCACATTTCCTTGTGTCATGGCAGGTGTTGAGGTGTGTTGGGTGAAGCACTCTCATCTGGTGCCTGGAAACCTGCTTTGGATCCCCCACCTCCACCCTATACTGGAGACTGAACCCAGTGCCTACATACTGAGCTGCATCCTCAGTCCTTGTTTATATTTTATTTTGAGACAGGGTCTCTCTGAGTTGGTCAGTGACACCAGCTGGCCTCCAAATTTTGATTCTACTGACCCAGCCTCCCGGAGTGCTGGGGTCACAGTATGCACCACCACCCTGGTTTCCCATGTTGCTTAACTGGTTAAGAGATCCTGGGTGAGTCTGTGTCATGGGATCTAATTAATCAAAGGGAGATGCTATTGAAATAATAGGCATGAACACCCCTTTTTAAAAAATAAACAATAAAGCCCTCCCTGTACAATGTGGGAAGCTATTATCATTCACATTATGCTAATTAAAGTAAAGTCTGACTGGTCTAAAGACTTCTGCTCAGATTTGATCATCTCGGCTTTAGAAATGGATACTTCAGCCACTGAAGGGATACCAGATGAGGGAATCTTTCCTGGTCACCAGTCCTCAGACTTTGTCACTACATCAGTACCTTTGGGTTCCCTGAGCACACTCAGGATACTTTCTGGTTTTTGTTTTTATCTAGTCTCAAGTTAAATTGAAAATGAATCCATCTGCAGTACAACTGCGGCATTATCTGAGTGGAACTGACCCTTACTGAGGAGAGAGAACTCCCATGTCTGAAAAGGTCAGTCTGGGACAAGAACCTTTTTCCAGGAATATTTTGAGGCCAGAGGAGATTTGTAGGGTCTGAGGGGGCTTAACAGTCTGTTCTAGGTTCAAATGTGATGAGTTCGTAGGCAGAAATTCTGGAGTGAGAGCCCTCAGGAATTTGTAAGAGGGCCCCAGGAACTATTCATTTCTTCATGGATGAGTTGGGGTAGATGTGAGGAGCAGCTTGGGGATGGTTTATGTCCCCAAAGCAGACAGGGTGTGGCCATTTGGCATTGAAAAAGGAAAAAGGGAAGAAGAAAAATGATAACCACAGTCAACGACTCTTTCCTGGGGTTGGTCCTGGCGAGAGAGAGAAGAGTAGAATGGAAGTATCTCAATGGGGTCATCACCTCAGTTCAGAAACAAGACTTTTTTTCCCCCTCCTCCTTTAAGAAAGAAGTTAATTTCAAGATAAGAAGGGACTATATGGAAAAGTTGAATATTATCCTGGAAAGAATGTTGGATTTGTAAAGCCTGGCTTGAATCCCAAGCAGCTTTTAGCCTCAGATCCACTTATCTAAAATGGTAATAATGACATTTCAAAAACTAATTTAGACTGCTGTTGGGAGAATTAAAGAAATCAAGTATGCAATGATATGTTTAGTGCTGGAGAGTCACCTACAAATCTTTCTCTACCACACGTATTTCTTTTCTGTCTTCCTTGTCTCACTATTCT